AGGTGTTGTGCCGACAACCACTAGTGATTATACATAAAACTGTGTGTTTAGACCCATTTTTCCCTAACCTGAGTGGTGAATAAGAGAGGAGGAGTAGACAGGCATTTGGAAAAAAAAAAATGTCAATTTGGAACATCCATCTACATCTTTTTACCGCCATTTCCATGCCAGCCACCCTGCCGTCCCGGCTACTGCAACTGTAAGCGGTCCTAAAAGCAGGTACTCTAGAAGGCATTAAAGGACGACTAGGAGAGTCTAAAAATCACTGCAGTTGCCCATTTTGGGGTCACAAGACAAACACTAACGAGGAAGCCGTAACTACAGCTAAGTGTGATGGCTAACCGACGCAACACAAATCACACCCATCTTTCGGCACTGCTGTAGGACAGCTGCCGTTCCTGTATTCTCTGCTACAACAACGTTGACAGCCCCAATGCAGCCAGAACGGTAGTCTTACCAGCTAGAACCGTTCTTAACGGGAGTTAAATAGCACTGATTTTTCAGATACCTAAGAAAGAAGCCATTATTTCTGTAGTAACAACTGTAAGTGTTATCGCAATGGTAGAAGTTTTCCCAAAAGTGGCTTGTACAAAAATGGCAGAGAGAAAGCAACATGAAAACCTCTAAAAATCACCCCAAGCAAGCTAAAAGGCAAGTTCAAAGGGAGAAGCAAACCCTGTAATTGTGAAAAATTTTGGTAAAACATGGAGATGTTTTTCCTCAGTATTCTCAAGTACAGCTAGTAGAAAAGTTTGCATCATTTTTTTTGGCCCAAAGCATGTGTTTAAATTTTAAAGTTGGAATAAATTCATTTAACAAAACATTTACATTGCAAATTAAAGCCGCCAAAATTTGCATGGTTTGTTCTAAGGTTAAATTCAACATTTTCATGAGGTTTTGCTCTTTGATTTTGAAAATGAGCTAATGAACTCTCACTGATATGTAAAAAAAGCCTAATTTGAGAAAAAACAAAACAGAGGAAAAATCTTTTCTACTACTTTTCCTTTTAAGTATTTTAGAAGCAAGTTTTTCAAGGATTTGTGGTCTAGCAGTGCTTTTTAAAGGCACTTGCATTTATCCTCCATGCATCAAACTGCTCCAAGTCAATTCCCTAAGACACTTAATCTTTTGGCAGATGGAAACTCATTTTGAAAGTCTACTAATGATCAATTAAAGCATTAGCTATCTCTATAGACAGGAGGTTTATGGGGTCATAGTCTTCAGAAGCTGGAGGCAAGAGCAGCAGCATGTTAGAAAAATAGCTCAACCTTTCTGTAGTTACCACAAAATTGGCAAAACATCGGAAAACAAAAATCATGACTTAGTCTTTAATGGGGTTTTTTTTGCCATAATATGTTGAAAACAAATGTGATGGTTTCTATTTTATAAGAGAGGCCGTGGTCCAAACTGAACGTCAAAGGAAACTATCCTTTTAATTTTTTTTCTAAATAAGGCCTAATAACAATCCCAATACTTCCAATAAATTTACATTATCCTTTGAAAATCAGATTCAGACTCCAGTCATAAAAATACGTACCCATGCTGCAAGTACGCAGACATGTCTTGTGAGGAGCTGCCATTGGAATCAGTGGTTCGCTGGTAAATAACGCATCATTTCAGACATGCTTAAAGCCACACGTTTAGGTTTGGAGTCAAGACTAGTACTCTGCCCACAAGTTTCTCTACAATTTGACGTACAAGAGAGATACAACTACAAAGAGATACAACTGTCACATTCATAAAAGAATTTAAGACTCTTTCTCTAGGAGTTTGGCAAGCCATTTTTTCTTGAAGATGGACATAAAAGTGATTAACCAGCTAATGCAAACTAAAAAGGATGCTTTTTACAAAACGACATACCTAGTATGACCATGGGTTCCTACAATTACTAACGTTGCCGAGAGAATCCATACTTACTCAATTCACTGCATGTAGATCCTTGCCTGCAATTTACCTTGTATAAAGTAAGACAGAATAATGAATAGAACACATTTTCTTTCAGTGAGAGTAAAAATGAAGTCGCCTACTAAAAATTCGTAGAAAACTACCAATGCTGTGTATTTTTAAAAAGAACGTATGTAAAGATACTTGTGGGTAGGGAAGGGTGTGATACTGAAGACATAAGCACAGCTAGCATTACGAGTAGTATATTCTATCCTCAAAATAAGTTCAGCTTCCACATCAAGTACATCTACTTGTGGAACCTCACTACATAGATTTTCCTCCGGGTCTAAGCAAAGGGAGACAAAGGATTAAAGTGTCACTTAATTTAGTACATGTTGGGGACAGATCTCTTTAAAAAGTAAAGGACTGGTGTTTTTGAAAGGGGCGTTTCTACCCTCTATAAAAACCACAACATTAGTAAGAGTCCAAAAATTAGGCAGCGCTCCTTAGTTTACCAGTTCCCTTCATTTTTAGCTGCTGCATTACAGCCACCTTCGTATCCATGCCTCCATCTTTCAAACTCTGGCACATTAGCTATTATTCCCCCACACTTTGACACAAAAGTTGAATGAACAAAATGGGAGCGCGTAAGATGACAGACGATTTATGATCATTTTCAGAGCACCGAGAGATCCTTTGCCACTCTCACACCTTTCAGAGGCAGAACAATATTCATCATCGTATTTCAGACTTTAAATAATTATTTGCAGAGCACATTAAGGTCCTGATAGTAAATACATTATGTAAACATTAGACAGCATCGTTGTCCCATTTCACACTAAACTAGCATACCTCTTTCACATCGCAATTCAAAAATGGTAATCCAGAACACTTTGCTTTGGCAGTAAAAAATAGCAATAATCAACAACGGACACAAATACCTTCTTACCAGCAACACAGCCTCCTTCTTCTACAGCAAAGTAGGGCAGAAATTCTAGGGCTTAGCTGAAAAATTCTTAAAGAGACTGAAGCGAGCACCACTGGCATAATACGAAAGGGAGGAGCAAAGTTGTTTCTAGGGGAGAGGGAAATAAATAAATAAATAAATAAAGGGTGACAGAAGAGCTACAGCTCCCCTTTCTAAACTGCCTGCTAGTACAACACAAGGGCAAAATGTCACAGGATGACTCAACACCGCCAGGAGCTCCAGGCATCCCGGAAGGACAAGCCTGTGAGTTACTCCCTAATTACAGGGCACTCACGTTGGCCAGATACTAATAGGACATACTGGGGAAGAACAGAGAGCTGGGCCAACATTACCGAGTAGGGAGGGTGTCGTAGGCACAGCAACCACACGTGCGGTGCCCCTCTAGACTGGCAGCATGGTGCCAGGCACCCCAACTGCAGGGTGCTCACTGGCTGCGACGCAACGGCAGGAGGCCAAAACCAGGTATTTGAATGCACTCACTGGCTGCCTGAAGCGACGCAACAGCAGGAGGCCAAAACCAGGTATTTGAATGCAGAACGGTCTCCTGCTCCAGGTACTAAAGATCAGTACCACTCCTGACTACCTGTGTATGACCCAAGAACTGATCACAGCTGGAGTGCTATGCCAGAGTCCCTTTCCGTCAGTCAGTCACAGAGACTGCAGTTTCTGAGCACTGCAGTACCCGTGAAGAACGCATCTTCAGCTGCAGACCAGGAGAGCTCTCCTAACTGGTTTTAACTGGAAGAGCCAAACACAATAGGTCAAGCAGGGCTTCGACACGGTAAAGCAGAACATAGGTGAACTTTATAGATACCTAAATACACAACTGATTTAAAAAGTGGCCCTGCTTTAGTGACAGTGTCCACGTTTTCCCTTTTGCATGTGCACAAGGTTAACCTGGTTTGAGATGCTGAGTTCCCAACTTCTGTTTCAGCCTGACTGGGACCAGGAACCTGATGCTGCTGCAGAATTCCCTGAAAGGCCCTGATCAGGATACTTCTTCACTTTTTTGAGCTTCATGAACTCTCCATACCTTTCTACACTTACAAAGAAAGGATATAAATGTATTTCTTTATACATATACACACAGACATTACCTTTAAGCCAGCCTAAACAATAGTTTTGCAGTTAAAACATCCTCCCGAAGGGTAAAAATCATCAATTTAAATCACTGTTTTTCAAGTTTACATTAGCATTCTAATCACTGACACGCATCTTCTGAGAAATAGTGAACTGCCAACATCACGCATAAAGTAACCCAAACCTAAAAGAGAAAAATCCATGTTTACTTCCTTAAGTCTTACTGCTTGTAGAAACGAATTATTTTTATTTACACTTCAAGGATTATTTAAAAAAAAAAAAATTCCTTGCGTTCCTCTCTTCAGAAGTTAGCCAGACTCAGGATGAATATATTTGTTGTCATATGCTCTTATTCTGAGCGCTGCTAGTTTGCTTGGCAAACACTTGAATTTAGTCCTTGGTTTTTGGTTCTGTATTAACCTAAATAAATGAGTAGTATATATTAAAAGATGTGATTAGTTGCAACAGACCATAATCTCATCCTTGGTTTTCTGTATTAACCTAAATAAATGAGTAGTATATATTAAAAGAAAAGAACTTTGAATCTATGGGAGATGGAACATAACAGCAGACGGTAAACGCATGAAGTGGCATGTGACACCTTTCACCGGATTTAGCAGCAACGACAATTTCCGCAATGCACTCAACATCACGCTTCCGAAATCAACGACGCAAACGCGTTCTTTTGAAGCTTCTGAAGCACTCCCTACGTTGCTGTACCTTTTCCATATTTAGTCGTGAGAAATACAGAATTCTGCGTATATAAGTTACCAAATGTATACATAAACCAACCTTGCGTTCCTCTCTTCAGAAGTTAGCCAGACTCAGGATGAATATATTTGTTGTCATATGCTCTTATTCTGAGCGCTGCTAGTTTGCTTGGCAAACACTTGAATTTAGTCCTTGGTTTTTGGTTCTGTATTAACCTAAATAAATGAGTAGTATATATTAAAAGATGTGATTAGTTGCAACAGACCATAATCTCATATGACACATGCAAGAGCTCATCTTAATAATTCTTACAGCTAAAAATATGATCACCAAATACTAAAGTTAAGAAAACTATATTTATTTGTCATCAAAAAGGAGAATCAAAGTAGTACATTTTGTTAACAGTAGCACAGAAAAGAACAATTTTGAATCTATGGGAGATGGAACATAACAGAAGACGGTAAACGCATGAAGTGGCATGTGACACCTTTCACCGGATTTAGCAGCAACGACAATTTCCGCAATGCACTCAACATCACGCTTCCGAAATCAACGACGCAAACGCGTTCTTTTGAAGCTTCTGAAGCACTCCCTACGTTGCTGTACCTTTTCCATATTTAGTCGTGAGAAATACAGAATTCTGCGTATATAAGTTACCAAATGTATACATAAACCAACCAAACAAAAAAAAAAAACCACCCCAAAAAGCAGTAACCCTCAGTCTTTACTGTTAGAACAGAGAGGAGCAGCTCTTCCATTATCAGATATGCTTCATACAACTCACACGCTTCTCATATATACATTGCCTACTCAGATGGAGGTTTTTCTTTTTTGCCCCAAACTATTTTTCATTTATATATATATATGAATCATTGAAAGGGTGAAAAAGGAACGAGGGAAGTGGATAGGGGTAAGAGCATGGTTTTCTTTTACGATTCTGGACTTCTGAGTAATATTTATTCCTACCATGCAGGACAGTTGCCTCTGAAGTGGGAACCGTTCATCCCCATTAGTACCTTAAAGTATGGAAGCTTCCCTGAGTAATTTTTTCCTAAATGGGAAGTTACTTGCCTGAAACATTGAGGGGCTTTCCCCTCAAGGAAAAAAAAAAAAAAAAAAGGGCAAAAAAAGCTTCCCATGTCAGTTAAAAATAACCACGTTCAGAAAATGAATGTACAGCTGGTTCCTAGTTGAGGTTGTGAAGTTTCATGAAGGAAGCGTCTCCCATTTGAGAAGCTACAATGTGATACTCTCTTACTCCTTCCATTCCCAAGTGTTTTGCATGGAACACTCATTCTCAAGAGTAACATACGCTGAAAGGGAGGAATAATTTAAATTTAGGGGTAGGCGGCACCTGAAATTTACCAAGCCATGCAAATTTAAAGCTATTACAGTGGAAGACTTAAAAAAAAAAAGTTAGTTTTCCTTATTAAGCACAACCGTTAATCAAATCTTTAAGCCACACAGCACGAACATGCATCACTCTTAGGAAACGCTCAAATCAACCTTATTTCTTAGCACTTTCGATACCCTTTTAGCCATGTTATATACACATCTGTAATACACCGCACTATAATCACTATGCAGAAACGTGTATGACTGTGCAGTCATACACCCTTGTGCGATTCTGTATTATATCAAAAACCACGCTATGCTACAGCTGATGAAGCCAAGATGCAAAATACAGATGCACTGCATGACAGTTTCTTTAAATACGGCTTAATTCTGTCCTGAATGCATTACAGGAGACACACATTAAAGACATGAAAATACTAGAAGAATACAGTTTTCTTACATCAGAAAACAAACCTTTTAAATACTCAAATAAATAGCCATTCAATATCAATTTTCTCTCCTTTTAGAAAGGTTGTTTTAAAAGTAACTGACACTCATTTCCTGCCCTGCTTCTATGTTCTTCTGTTCAAAGATAAATTGCAAATGAAGGCACGAGTATATTCTCCTTTTCAACTTAACATAACTTTAAAAATATTCATACTACGCTATACTTCCTTTAACAGAATAAACTTGACTAAAGTTTTCTGAGGAAGCATGTATTTGAACAGGTAAAGTGCCCATGTGAAAACAAATACAGGGGTTTATATAGTTAATAAAACATGCCGTTTGAAACAGTCCAGATCTTTTACCCTTTATTCATCATCTAAGTACCCAAATACTGTAACTATGTGAAATCGTTTATGAAATTTCCAGTTTTCACTACTTCAGTAATACTCAAAACTCCAGCCAGAATCAGAAACCTAACGTATTTGGTGCAGCACTGGAGTCACGAAATGAAAAGGCGGCAAGCTTACGCAGAATCTGTGACAAAGTAAGAAAAGATTTCCCAGCTCTTAGGAAAATTAAGATACATGTTTTTGCTACTGTAACTTTATTATTTCATTCGCAACACCATAAAGCATTGGTGTACTTAACAACGGATTTCCCCATCCTCCCTTCCCATCCCCAAAGAACAGTGGTGATGATGAAAATAACGACAGTTGCAGCGAACTTCTATTTCAAGTCCTAGTATTCGCTTATCCTTAGCCTAGGAGGAAAGTGGTTCACTTTTCGACTACACACCACAGGAGTAGTTATGAAGTCCACCGCCACCAAGCTACCTTAATTCTGTCCCACACAGCCGAGAGAGAGTCAAACGCAGGGCGAACATCCAGGATAGTGAACTGGTAGTTCTTATCTACTGCTCCACCATCGTAGTAATCAATAACGTATCGCACTTCTTTTCCACATCGGTCAACAATCCAATCATGTCTGTCAAAGGGAAGTTCGTATCTGGAAAGACAGTAATAGACCACGTAGATATTTTAATGGGTATTATGAACCTGGCAGAGGGAGCGGAAGCCCTATCTAAGAAGATTTATTTATCCAGATACCGGCATAAGATCCCCACTAGTACTTCTATCTTTTGGTAATTATAACTTGCAATTCCAGTTCTGAAACGTCTTAAAATTAAGTCCGCACCATGTTTTCAGACACGTCTCCCTACCCTCCCACCTCACTGGAAGACCTTCTTTCCGGCCCACGTACCCCATCCATGAACGTATTCTGGCTCTTGGTGAATACTCCTTTGCTTTGCCTCCAAACCGCATCAGTGATGGTCCACACGGACATTCCCTGTGCACAGAATTGAAAAAGAAAATAGTTTTTACCTTTTAAAGCAGTCTTATTTTAAGTGTTTAAACCATATGGTAATTTGTTTTAGTAACAGAAAAAACGAATAGGAGAAAAAGCAACAGTAAAAAATTAATTACAAGTGATCTAAACCAGCTTTTTTTTTTTTTAAAGGTTTGAAAAGTCCCCCAGTTTCTGACAGCACTTACTGCTGGTATGATACGATAAAGTACCTTTGATATGCTCCACACCATTGTTCTAACTTATCAACAGAGCAGTTCTCAGCATTATCTAATCCATAGATTTAACAGATTAAAGAACAGAAAACCGTTAAAGAACAGAAAACCGTAATCCAAACTACTGTGTAACAAAGATCATGGAATTTCAGAGAACCATTTCTACATACAGAACGCTTAACTAGTCTGTCTCTTCTAGGAACAGGGACTATACTGACCTAAAAAATGACAGTTTGTTTTATACCAGTCACTTTTAATCTAAGTTTATATCTCGTATCTTTTTCGTAACATAAAGATTTCAAAAATAACTCCCAAATAGATACAATAAGAAGTTAACTTCTCCAAATCCACATTATACACACACCACCAAAATACTCATCAGTTTTAACAACATAGTAATTATTCAGTTCTAATGAAGCTCTTCTGGGTAATCTTCCTCCACGTTAATCAAAATGCTGGCTCCTACAAGACCGTAACTTTTGGGACGTATCAGCACCAGAATATTCCTACGAGAACTGAAGAGACATTCTACTCTCAAAGAATTACAAAAGCAAGAGCTAAACCAAAGGATCTGCTTTTCATTTCATATGTACGTACACAGCATGAAGAGCTTCCCACTTCAAAATCTCCTTCCAAGCTTGCTCATTATTTTGGTTGTGAATCTTAATAATGTTGGTCATGTCTTCACCTGTTATATCGTCATCTTTCCACCTCCACCTAAAAAATAAGAATTTGAAAACAGTTCACAAGCATTACAGCATAACTCCTCCAGCTTCCTCAGTTTATCTGATAGGCTTTTGAATCAAGAGATTTAAGGTTTTATGCAAAGACACAAAGCAAGTATGGAAACTTCTGGCTCATCTGCTTAAGCATCTTGAGAACCATTTCATTTTCTGTGTGTAAAAAGTGTAGTTACCGAAGTTATCATCACAGAGATCCACAAATTCTCGTTAGCTAAATTAACAGCTTAACTGGATCAGAAAGTTATCAGAGCGTGCAAACATCAGCACATCCACGGTATTCGTAAAAATGCTTAGGAAAAACCCCATCTGCATTCCTAACGCACAGAAGTCCCGTATTCGATAGATTTTGCATACACTTAGAAATGCCTTTCACCTCTCTGTCCCTGCGCTGTGACTGCACGCGCGCTTCCTTTCCAACAGGCGTAACACTGAACACATTTAAGTGTTTACAGGATCAAAACCTGTGTGTTCAATATAGACTGCTTATGACATATTGTCTTCAGAACAATATTGATACGTAGAACAAAGAATTGCTATTGTTTTAATAGTAACCGCCTTTAAAATTGATCTCTTTGAGAATGACAAAAAATTACAAAAGAATGAGGAAACAGCAGCACAGAAGGCTTTTTAGGCCACGGGAGACATTTATCATTCAGTTAGATCTTGCCTACACCGAATTTTTGTAAAGACTGAAAACATCTACTTGTCAAACAATTTTTCACATTTTTAGCAATTCTGCAAAGTCAAGTTGGATGTTCTCACAATCACAGAACTTTTACTATCAGTTTATAGGATTAGCATGAAGCCGATTAGTTTTGAAAGCTGGCAATCCTGCAAAGTTTGTCTATGTCCATGCACTGACTTTTAAGAATATTTTCTCAGCTAGCGGCAGTTGCCCGACATTCCCTACCATCTTGCTCATCACTAGAGGAGACATGGCTTTTGAGACCAGCTCACCCTTTAAAATAAAGCTGTTCATAAAAATAGTAGTTTTTAAAAGAGCTAGTTAATTATTAACTGCTTAGAGTCCACAAACCCTTAAATAATATCGATGAACAATAACTAATGATATTACTTCATGAATTTCAGGCTCACAGACTCCATCTGATAATTCAGTGTATTTACCCTTTTCTTAGCATAGCATTCCAGAACATTTGCTCTGAAGGGTAGACCCATTTCTTGTCAGAATGTGCTCTAGGAATGGAAGATTCTTCTCTAACAGTTGACAATGGAAATGGCTGATCTGGAGATGGCTGCTGATTAGGAGGAGGCATCTAGAAAACAAGGAGAATCACCTGCTGATTAGGAGGAGGCATCTAGAAAACAAGGAGACTCAACAACAAACTAGAGTATGAACATTTTTTTATGTTACGGTGTTTGAGAAAAATCAAAGCATAATCAATCAGCTGCCACAAAGATCAAGAAGTTCAGCCTTTATTTAAGTCCACCAAAATTATCTCTCTCTTTTGCAGTAGAACTCTTTGTACAAGTTTGTCATCTGAAGACTAAAGGAACCCTTTTGCCTAAACTTCAACTTTCAAAAGAGCAGTGCTTTTTGTAAATCAGAGGAAATCTTGGGGAGACATAAATCAGAACTTACCCATACTGCTATTACACAGAACCTAAAACCCACTAATGTAGCGTAAAAAACCACGCATGGTTTTCATGCATGGTCCTGCAGATCTGCAGGACCCCTGTGAACCGCGACAATCGGGAGCGACCCACAGGTTCTACAGCAAGCACCTACTGTCTCTACAGACAAAACAGCTTGCACGCTGTTCTGGTGAACAACTGACTCCTTTCCATGAAAAGTTACTTGAGAGCTATTTTTGCTAAAGGAAAAACTCAAGCTTTTATTTGTAGAATCATTTTCCTTTTTTTTCCCCAAATATTTTTCCATCTGTTTTCCATGTAAAGAGTTTATTAGTTTTTAGTATATGTTTTGCTACAAAACAAATAGAAACAGACAGCAAAAGATATTTACAAACTGGAAAACCACCTTTTATCAAAAAAGATGTAAAAGGACATTAAATAAGATGCAATTTGTTTTTATACAAATCTTTGCGCACAAGATGAGAAAAAGCACTGTTAAAAATTAAAAAATAACATTATTTGCCAGAGTTTCCACCTTAGACAGTATCACTATTTACATTTTGGGGATAGTATTTCAGAAGAAACAAGACTGAAGAAAACATCTGAAATAAGCAAAAGTTACCATATTGCTAGGATCTATGTCATCTTTCACTTGAGAGGCACCAGACTTCACTGGACATGCTACAAATTCATACGCTCTTTTTTGATGTGCAGGAACATCGTCTGTGTTCTCAGTTTTATGATCAGGAGTCTTCATGTGCACTGGACAGCCTGAAATACAGGAAAAAACAGTATACGTTTTGCTACAAAACGAAAACTCTAAAACATGACAGGAAGTGGAAAACAGTTCATTGAATGCTCATGTTAATACAAACTGGTATTTCGCGCTTTTTTCCGAGCTTTGCAACAGTTTTAACTGTTCTCTTTCCTGCATTTTAGGACCCAGCACCTTGGTAAGATCTAAGCTTCTTACATAGTCCTTGAATGCTCATTCCCCACCCCATGCTCGCCCCTCTGCTTTGCTGTACTTCAGATTTCCACGGCAATGTTAATCCAACATGTGTTGATTGTGTCAACGGAAGAGCTGAAGTCCTCTTTCTCCAGACATTCACCTCATTCCACCCTTCTGCTGCCCTTTTCCGGATGCATGTTCTCTAGCGACAACCACCCACCCCCAGTTACCGCCTCTGCAGGAGCCCCTGCACCTCCCTGACCCTTTGTGGGTGTACCGCTTGACGGGAACAGATCTGCAGGACCCCTGTGAACCGCGACAATCGGGAGCAACCCACAGGTTCTACAGCAAGCACCTACTGTCTCTACAGACAAAACAGCTTGCACGCTGTTCTGGTGAACAACTGACTCCTTTCATAGAATCATAGAATCACAGAATCATAGAATCATTGAGGTTGGAAAAGACCTCTAAGATCATCGAGTTACCCATACTGCTATTACACAGAACCTAAAACCCACTAATGTAGCGTAAAAAACCACGCATGGTTTTCATGCATGGTCCTGCAGATCTGCAGGACCCCCCTGTGAACCGACAATCGGGAGCAACCCACAGGTTCTACAGCAAGCACCTACTGTCTCTACAGACAAAACAGCTTGCACGCTGTTCTGGTGAACAACTGACTCCTTTCCATGAAAAGTTACTTGAGAGCTATTTTTGCTAAAGGAAAAACTCAAGCTTTTATTTGTAGAATCATTTTCCTTTTTTTTCCCCAAATATTTTTCCATCTGTTTTCCATGTAAAGAGTTTATTAGTTTTTAGTATATGTTTTGCTACAAAACAAATAGAAACAGACAGCAAAAGATATTTACAAACTGGAAAACCACCTTTTATCAAAAAAGATGTAAAAGGACATTAAATAAGATGTCATTTAAGTTTCAAGAACAATTACCGCTCGTTTTTTCCTGATGCATAGGACATTCTGAAGGTGGAGAGGCCGTCTGATGTTGCCTGGATGCATTCGGCGACTGACCTGCAGCAGCCGGGGAGGACGCAGACAAACCCATGGCTTCCGCGCACCGGGTCTTTTCGGATCAAGTTTCTAAAGGGAAAAGAAAAAAGCAAAGACCCGTAATACAAAACCACACTGGTTATTTGTTAAGGCGAATGCAAGCACAGGTATGTTGCTGCATCACAAATTGAAAAAATAAATAAAAGATCGGTTTAAGGAATAAACATCCAGCCCAAATAAAAATCCACAGCGTCTACCAGGACTGACCGCGAATGAGCTCGCGTGGGACGAGGTGCGCGGGCTCCCTACAGGTAACATCCACGCTTACAGCCGCCTCGCCCCCGCTCAGCCCCTCTCCTCACGCCCGCTG